CTTGGACTTCCAGTCTCCAGAACTATGAAATGACAAATTTCTGTTGTTTAATGCACTTGGTCTCTGGTATTTGTTATGGCAGCCTGAGCAAACTAATGGATTCATGTCTTTAACTCCTTCCCAACCACAGGCCCAGCCCACTTGTTTTCTCTTCTAATTCTTCCCCTACTTCTCTTGTTCAGATTTAATACCTCCCCCCCCCTTCTTTTTTGTTTTTAATCTTTGCCATGGTACTTTGTTCATGCCTCCCCTGGGAATTTGTGTAAGGGTCTATCTTCCACTCTAGGCTACAAGATTTTCATGAAGATTTTTTTTTTTTTAATTTGCATTCTGAGCTGTCTAAATCAGTCTCCTAACTCAATAGAGCCTTTTATGTATATTTTTTCCACAAATTCTCTGGAACTAGGCTGCTCACTCAGATTTCTTTCCCCCCACAGCTTCCTACTGTCTCTTAAAAAAAAAACAAAAAACAAAAAACAAAAAAAACTCCTAGTAATTTCCCTGTGTAGGAAACTATCCCAAAGAGATTTTTGAACAAGTACATAAAAATGGATGTACAAGAAAGTTCTTCAGAGCATTGATTATAATATCCAAAAATTGCAATAGGCGTAAGTGTTGTTCAATAGAATTAGTTAAATAACTTATGGTATGTCTCACAGAGGGATATTGCGCAGTCAATAAAAATGATGATGCGGATCTATATTAATTGACATGGAAAAAATAACTATTATTGAATGAACACAAAACAAAACAGGATACAGAACAGGATGTGTAGTATATGTAAACAAAGTCATGTATAAGTATAGCTCTAGGTAACCACGCATACAGAAATATATGGAAGAACATTTCCCAAAACGTTTTAAGAGTTAAATCTGGATGGTAAGTTTTCACACAGTTTTTCTTTTTTCTCTGCAATTCCAGAAATGTGCAGCTTTTTGAAAGTAGGCAAGAATTCATTTTATGACCAGAATAAAATAATAACATTATTTCATTTAAAATATATATACTAATAAAGAAGAGAGTAGCTAGGCTCTACTGTTCTGCTAGATCAACGCCTTCACCCAAGCATGGAAAGGAGGCAATTCTTCTCATCTTGCTAATTAAGCTTCTTGAAAGCAGGTCAGCCCTGGGTGCAGGCCACACAGATGGGCATCTGCATGGCATGATTAGGAGTTATTGAGCTGCTCTGCCCAGCCCGCCCTGGTCTCATCCTTGAGCCCTGCAGTCAGGCTTTAAAAGCCTAAGTTTCTCATTATTAGTTATTCCATTTGGATACTTCAATTAGGCAGCTGTTAAAATTCATGGGGAAAAAAAAAGCTATTATTAGTTAAGGACATGATAACCCAATTAATTCCCCCAGCAAAAGGCTGAACCATTAGATTATTATATAGAAAAGGAAAGAAGGGGGAACTGGCAGGAATTGGTGATAGGAGTGGGAAAATCCAACATCAACACACTCAGTCCCTGGGGAAAGTAGTGAGAGGGTAACCCACAGAAGGAGAGCCTCTAGTGATAATCACAACTAGTTTGCGAATGGTAGGGCAAAGCTCGCTCCTCAGTGGGACACAAATAGCTAGAAACTGCACTCCTTAGTGGGACAAAAATAGCTGGACACGAATACTCTGAGACATTTTTTCAAAGAACCAATCACACACACTTTGATTCTCCATCAATACATGCTTTCCTTCCTTTTGGCCACATCTGCACACGTGAGATGGCCATCAGCTGCAGACCAAATGCGACAAAATAATATTGTGATGCATTACCCAGTGTTTTTCATTCCCTGTATTTTCTGCTAACCCCCTTGTGGCAGATTATGTTTTCCCTAGATGGCCATACCAATATATGTCCATATGCTCACAGTGTGGCATGGACAAGCCTCCCCATCCAGAGGTGGGATCAGTGTTCTCTCTCCTTGAATGCAGGTGGACATTTGTAACTTCCTCAACCAATGAAAGGACACCATGTGACTGATGAGGCTTGTCATAAAGAGCAATATGGCTTCTGCCTGCCTCTCTCTCTCTCTCTCTCTCTCACCTCTTGCCCCTGGAACCCAGCCACCATGTTCTAATAAAGCCCATGGCACATGATGTGGCCACGTGAGGGTCTTCCGGCTGACCTCACCAGCTAGGCCCCCAGCCAACAGCAACCTCCAGATACTGCATTTATAAGCTTTACGATGATCTCGGCCCCACAATGTTGATGACTTTCAGCTAGGCCCCAGACACAGGAAGAGAGATAACTTGTCCTCATTGCACCCTCTCTGAATGCCTGACCCACAGAAACCATGAGACATGTTGAGGAATAAGTAACCAGCATACTACCCTACTCTTACCACTGCCCTCAGACTAGGATGCTAAAAGAGAAAGGGGTCAATTAGTTTTTGAGTTTCAAAGTAGTTTTTCAACAATCGTTTCTATGATGATGGCTTAAAGGAATTAAATTTGGAACCTAAATATCCTGGCATTTGACTATCAAAAGACAAAAGCCCTAAAGAACTTAGAGGCATAATACTTATGACTTAGGCAAATAATTCAGAAAAAAAGCAAGATAGGAGTGAATTTTCCAGTCTAAGAGGATACTAAAAACAATGTTTTAAAAAATTTTTGCAGAAGAGAAGACAGAGTCTTCTGAAACTTCACTGCTGGAATCCAGGCAGTGTAGACCAGAGGTGTTGATGGGTATCTCAGTAAACGCCAAAAGGATTGATGAAGAGGATCAAGGATGGGGATAATCAGACATCTCTTGCCCGCATTGGTTAATGACGATCTGAGACCGGATGGGGCCCACAACAATCCGTAAGTTCTAAGGGCAACTTAATATCAACCATGAGGAGAAGGAAAGAGTGGAAAAAAAAAAAAATAGGATTCACCTGAGACTGATCATGTTAAATATTCTGCCATCAGTAGCGGGGGATGATTGAAATACTGTGTAAATTTACTTACTAGAATATTAAGTGACATTATTTATACATTAAAGTTATAGCTTAAGGAATTTGTACATTCTTCACCATTTTGATATTCACCTTCCCTGATAAAATTGTAACCTCCAGGAGGGGGAGAACATAAATGGCCCAGAGTACACACTCGATGAATATGTTTTAATGAGTAAATAAATGAATAAAGAATTCGAAACAGCTCTGTTGTGGAAATCGGAGGCCATGAATCATCTCACCTCTGTTTCCAACAAGCCAGGTGGCCTTTAATAGGTCCCTAACTCTCTTGGGGCCCAAGGGTTCTGAGCTATAAAATTAGATGATCTCCAAGTATACCTCCAACTCTCCTATCCCACTGGACCATAAGCTACTACACAATAGGAATCAAGATCCAATCATTTTGTGAGCCCCAGGACCTAGCATAGGGCCTGGTAAATAGCAGGCACTCGATAAATATTTGTTGAAAAATGAGATGAACATTACGCTAGGTTTCAAACCCTAATCAGGACAATGTGTAATTTGGTTGCCTTTTCAAGTACATAAATGTTAAATGAAAACTAAAGAGAAATAACAAACCGAGAATGTCATAATGTCATTTTCACGGTACAGCAACATTTCCTAACTGCCCAGCATTTAAGGAGTAATGGTTTCATTGCCCGGGAGTCTGACACGGTGATTTGCTCTGACTTGCATCCCTCTTATTCTGACTGACAGCCTCTCTGAGCTGTCTTTTGGTGGGCAGCGGTTGCCCCTGGTGCATTTTTTATCAAAAGTACATACATCCTGTCATCTTTTATAATCCTCAGAACTTGAAGATTGTCTTTCACTTAAGTTTTCTGAGCTGAAATTAGGTTTGAATAATAATCAGGATTGTGGATCTTCCAAAGCAAAGGTACTTTATGAGAAAATGCTATCTTACGATTCTTCCAGGCATAGAATTTCAGAGTTGAAAGATTTTCCCATCCCAGGATTTTATCTTATTAATATTCTCCTTTGCAATTCAACTACCAAGAACTGGAAAAATCTCTGATTGTCCTCCAGCAATGGCATTAAAGGCTCCTCATAACATACAGCACCAGAATTGTGCCATAATTTAGTGAAATTGAACACTGCTCTGTGACTGCTAATTTTCCATCGAGATGATTCTGTCTCTAAGCAAGAAGAGAGAAGATGAAAACTTGATAGGAAAAAAAAAATCCCTTTTTCTAATTACTGTGAAGATTTTCAGACGCTTTAGGGTAAACACACCATTTTACCTTTGCCCTTATTTTTACCACAAGGTTCTGCTAAAAATCCTTTTGGCTAAAATGTCAAAACTGAGTTTCTCTTTTAATCTTCCACTTGGAAAACCCAGTTATAATTGTATAGTGATGATGCGCTCTGTTCTAGGAGACTGCTGTATCAGCGTATTCATTTTTAACCTTTATTTTCAATTATTTGCAGTTTGGGATTTAGTTCCCAAAGTCAATTTGGGAGACTTCTTCTCTTTTAATACAGGAAGCTAATTTACCCATTCTGCAGTTGCCAAACAATCACATTGAAAAATATGAGCATATGCATGTTCATAGACTCATTCCAGAGACTCTGAGTCTAGAAGTATGCTTTTTAAACTTTCCTAATATGTTAATCATTAACGTAAGGTATTATTTTGCCATTTTCTATTAATTTCAACAGAATCTCCCTGTGCCTTTGCAGTGGGATTAATACAATTGGACTACAGATCTTCTGGATGAAGTGGGTTTTTTTAAATAGTCTTGTAATAATAATAATATCTTTCTTAAAGAAGGCACCCATTAGTGCCATTGAAGTCAACGTGTAGTTGTTTCCTTGCCAATATTGGTAATTCAAGGAATTTTAACACCTGTTAGAACATAAAGTCACACCTCTACTGTGGCAAGCCTTACTCATAAGATTATCATGTTGGGAGAAAGTGGACCGTGCCCGATGGGATGTGATTTGAGAGTCTCCTTCCTCCTTCACGTCTACCCCACTATGCAGTATGAAGTACACATACTACTCATCCTTTTGACTTAATGAGATCTCTTTTAGAATGCAAACACGTTACCTGAGGATCACGATATATTGTCACGTCACGGCGTGTGGAACACCTAGGAATTAATTTCAGAAATTAATGAGTTAGGTATGGAAGGTTTGGGCTTTGAATATATATATATATATATATATATATATATATATACATATAGCCATATATATGTATCATATATATGTATATATTTTATATTTTTAGCAACCCCCTCCAATAGTATTTTATACATGCCATTATCACAATTTTTTTTTTTATCATTTGTTTACCTTTAGGTTATTATCTTTGCCTAGGCTCCCTAGAGATGAGTCTGAAGCAAAGATGAGAGGCCAACGTTTTGCAGAGGTGCAATTCCAGGGAAGCGACCATGAGGGAGAAGGGGAGAGAGGAAGGGAAGGAGGACAGGCATAAACAAAGTGGTGGGTTACTGAGCTGGCCACATCTTCCTGGAAAACATAGTCAGCTATTCAGTCACATGACTCTCCACCCCTCCTAGTCAGCTGTGTGGAACCACTATACCTGGAACAGTCCACGTGGACAGGAAAGGAGGATATATCAGCCAGGATCCTCCAACTCTTGTCTACCATTGCTCAAAGGTCACCCCCCCAATGTGTCACCTCCCCACTCACTTCTGAGTTATGACATCCAGTCCCTCCGGGAAGCTGCTGGAGAAGCCCAGCCCAGAGCCAATGATGCACGGCTACCTCTGAGCCTAGAAGTGCCAGGGAAGTCACAGGCCTTGTGTGTTTGGTCAGGTCAGATCTGAGCCGAGAAGCCCGAAGGCCCCCACTCCGGTGGACAAAATGAAACCCATGCTGAGCCCAGGTGGTGGCGGTAGCATTCAGACTATGGCAGTGTTGGCCAGGCCGTCCACCGAGCAACCATCTAAGGCCAAGAGGGCAGGTGGGCTGAGTAAATCTGGAAAAGTACATAAAATGGTCTGGAACTAAAATTACTGCTCTATTTTTCTCAGACAGTGTGCTCCTTGATGGCAGACATCCTATCTCACCATCCCAGCATCCTTGTATCCCCAGAATTAAGGCCCAGACACACCATAACAGACTGGAGTGAGCCCTGTTAACATACATTTTTTTGTAAATGCTCATCTTATGTGGTCATCCTGGGCACTAGAACACTTATGATAATTGTCAGATGGGTTCACCCATGACAAATGTTTACGTGTGGCACTTTTGGGAAGGGATTCTTTGATTTGGGCCATTATTTTACAAACAGCCAAAAAAGACAAAATGAGAATAAACACACTCCCAGGGTACTATGGTAATGAAGAAGATAGGCTTCGGAATCTAACAGACCTAGTGACATGTTTGTATAACCTCACTGGATCTTGGTTTTCTTTTCTGAAAAATGGAGAGCATGATATCCGTCTCACCCCTCCGTTGGGGAAGCGTGTGGGATTGTGCCATGTCAACTTGGTTAAGCTGGGAACTGTGATGACAACTGTTTCCCAGAGGGCTCAAGGTTAGGATTGGCCAAAAGAGAAACCTGCCCAAAATTTGGGAGATGGAAGTGAAGCAGGAGAGAGGGGAAGGGCAGGAGACCTTTCCCTGCAGTCAGACATGGTGACGGTGACACAGCAGTAAGGATCCCAGCCGATGCTGACTTCCCTCTGCTCCACACCTAGCTTGTCCCCCGGACGGCGGCTTCTGCTCATCAACAGCAGCCACAAGCCCACCCCAGATGCTTGGCTGCAAACCACAGAGGCAGGTGCCACACAGAGGCTGTAGCTCCCCTTGGTCCTCTCCAAGTAATCCTCCCCTTGCAATCCACCTTCAGCGACTGGACGTGCTTAGTTTCCCAGATCTCACTGCGAGCTCCAAACTGCCTCTCTGGGCCACTGCTTCAGGACAACCGGTAAATGACACCGCCAACCCTCCAGCTCCCTCTCCCAGGCTTTCACTTCCCCACCTTGCACAGGTATGTAATAAACCTGCTTTCCAGGGAGAACCCAATTTGCAGCTTTTGCTGATATCTGTGGTCCGAATACTCCCACTTTTCAAGCCATCGATATGAAGTCATTGAACATCGAGTTGGGAAGAAAGGCACACAAGTGCTCTCAGGAGCTCATGAGCCAGCCCCAGCTCGACCCCGAACAAGCTCCTCATCCCATGACACTCACATGGTTTCTCTCTTTCCTTGACTGAACTCGGACTCATACAGCCAGATTACAGGGTGATGGGCATTGCACTCAATACAGCACCTGGCACACAGGAAATGCTCAATAAGTTAAAGTTAGTGGGTTATAGGAACCAACCCTCATGTTGTCTTTGGCTCCAAACCAGCTAAAGGAAGGTATGTACCTGCAACCTACAAAAAAAAAAAAAAAGTCCAGAGATAAAAGGATTTTCCAACTAACGCAAGAACAATTTTTACATAGATTAACAAAATGCTGTTTGCATCTATTTACAAATTAAGTAAGCAAATTCCATTTCCTACAAAACAAATATGAATTAAGGAAATAATAGAATATTTTGCACGTGCAGCAGTGGGGAAGGTTGCACTCCATGAATATTAAGCAGCAATTTTGTAGTTAACATTAAATGACCATCTCGGGGAGAAATTTATAGTTACTGAATCTGAGGCAGAAGCTTCCAGCTCCTTTCCAATAAACTTATTAGCCGACAAAGCCTGCGTGCATAAACTTAAATTTCAATACTGCCCTTCCCCTCCTAGTCTGTTCTCTTACCTGCGTTCTTCACTAGCTCTGTAGTTGTGGTCACAGAATGTAAATATCCTTATCTCATCCGTGAAGCACTTTCAAAATTCAAAGCATTTGACATGTAGGATTCTTTTCTTCCTGGGCTTATCAAACAGCATGATGACTGATAGTTGCTCTTAATTTTAACCAAGGGTTTCAAGTTTATAATATTTGCTTCCCCAGCTGAGAATGACTAAATCAATGCTTACTTTGAAGTTGATTGTATATGGATTATTAAACCGTTATAAAGGCATGAAAACACACAGCAAACTACTCGTTCTCCCTCACCTCAGAATCGGCAAAACTTTTAGCCAAATATTGCTAAGAGAAACGTCCCTCTGGATTCAGGGCACATGCTCTTTTTCCTCTGCCCTGGAGCTACATTATTTGCACCAAATTCTTCATCTTCACAAAAATTCTACATCTGAAACCCCTGTGCTCTGCAAAGGACGCTTCACTGTATCATGGCTTTCTTTCAAATAACAGAGAACTTTCAGTTTCTCAGTCCACAGTTGTTCAAAATTTATTGTTAAGTCATCAAGCTTATTTCTGAGGAGATTTGGGTTCCTCTAAAGTGCACTCTCTACAAACAGTGGCTGCCTCTAATAGTTACCCAGAGGTGACTTTTTGTTCTTTGTTCTGATCTCTCTTTCTGTCTCTTTGAACTGCACTATAGCCATGGGAAGGATTTTATAAATCCTGGCTTGGATGGGACCAGGTAGAGAAAGAAAACAACCTTTGGGTTAACTATCACCTGGACAAAACATCCCTTCTGTACAGAATTCACTACTTCTGTATTCTTTCTTCAATAAATCTATCCAAATGAAGAAGGGAAAGTCGTTGCAGACAAAAAAAAAAAAAAAAAATGGCAGATGCAAAAGTGTAAGGATAAGAGAAAATATACTGCAGTTCAGTATCAGGAAATTTCCCAAAGATGGAAAGGTAGCGGTAGATTTCACAACTCCACAAAACATGGCGCCATTTTCTGCTCTTGACCTTGGATGGGTGGACTGTCCATTGTCATCCCGGATTAAGGAAAGGTTGAGGGGGAGGAATGTGGCCAAGGGCTCCGGAGACTTCTTTGTACGTTGCACTGTGCATATGCAAAAGAATGAGGCAAGATGGCTGCTTACACTGCACTGTTTAAATAGCTTTTGTATATCAAGCTAAGGCTTTGGACTTGGTCAGGCAGGAAATGGGAGTCCATTGTATTATTTTTAGCATGGAAGTGACGAACAAATTTGAGAGCTAGACTAGAGGGAGGCAAGATCCACTGGGAACCACTGCCACAACCCATGCCAAAAGTGTCAAAAGCTTGGGGGTGCTTGGGTGGCTCAGTTGAGTGTCCGACTTCGACCCAGGTCATGATCTCGCGGTTCCGGGGTTCGAGCCCCGCCTGGGGCTCTGTGCTGACAGCTCGGAGCCTGCAGCCTGCTTCTCTGATTCTGTGTCTCCCTCTCTCTCTGCCCCTCCCCTGCTCACACTGTCTCTCAAAAATAAATAAATGCAAAAAAAAAAATTGTTTTTTAAAGTGTCAGAAGCTTGAACTAAGGCAGTGACTGGGGCGGGGGTGGGCCGGAGACAAAGGAAGGGCTTAATAAGAAACTGAACGCCCCCCCCCGGGCGTGGGGGGGGGGGGGGGCTTAAGGCCTCAAGGGTGACACTGAGGATCTGGCTTCGGAAAAGGGTAGGTTTCTGCTTCAAGGAGAGAGTAGAGAAGGGGGTGATGTGGGGAGGAGGGTGGAAGAGCAGGAGCTGAGCTTTGGATTTCCTAGGGTGCGGGTGGATGAACCTCCCAGACTGACCACGGGAGGGCGGGGTGCCTAGGCCTACACCATTGCCCCCCATCCCCCCCCCCCCCGGGGGCGTCCGGGGGGGCTGTTCGGGCCCCCGATGCCTCCGGCCCACCCCCGCCCCAGTCACTGCCTTAGTTCAAGCTTCTGA